GCAGAGTATAAATTAAACAACATGCAACACAGAACAAGTGTAAAATATAGCTTCTGTAAACATCTCCTCAAAACGTTTGAACCATTGCATGGTCTTCTATCCTATTCTCACGGGTTTCAACGGTTGGATAGATAACCGAGAATGTGGCCCAGCGGGGTTAACTCGAGGAAAGCAAGCTAGTGATGCGCTAGTGATTTGGGGTATAGTATAGACGAAGATGGGGGGTTATGTTATGGCCAAAGCAGATTATTATAACTCGGAAAACAAAACAGCCCAAACAAGCGTGCATACATGCATACATTCATACACAGATGGAAGGCAGATACATATGTATAAAAAATCGACGAATTTTCTTTCTCCTCGTCAGAGATGGGGATGGGGGCGAGTAGAATTCATGGATATTAGGAGAGATTGGGAAAAGCAAGAACTAGAATAAGAAACCCAGAATGTTTCGTTTTTAAAGGCGAACGAAAAAGAAAAAGAAAAGGAAAAGAAAGGAGATAAGAAAATATGGAAACAAAAAGCTGGAAGATAAAAAAATCCAGCAGTAGATCAAATAAACTCATATCGTATCGATCTGGTGAGTTAACTCCCAATATATCAATTTACGATGAAGTGGAAAGCAAAAGTAATGGGACAAAGAAAACCGCTAACGAATAATAAAACATAGATGGAAGGGTAAAAGGGTAGAAAAGGAGAAATTAGAATTCAGAAGGGGGAGGGGGGGGGCGCGCTGAAGTTCTTGCTCTTTAGTTTTTTCTATTTTTTTAAAATCTTTTCCAGCAAAAAGCGCGTAGTGGATTAGCGGTGAAGGTGAAGCATTCATTGGCGTCTGTTAGTGAAGGGCATATACACTAAATAGATTGAATGTGATTCTCGTCTAATAGCAAGAGGCACGTTGAAGCTCACAGACCATGGCAGCTCATTCCGCATGTTTTTCATGTAGCTGTACTCGACCGGACCTAGACGGTCTCGGCCTCATCTTTGGTCACCGAATCCTTTCCAACACCGTTTTCAGACGAGGCCAAGCCCATGCGGGTAGCGAAGGTCTCATGGGGCTTCCATTTGCTGCTGTTCTTAGCGCTGCTCTCTTCGAACAAGCGATCGACTTGCTCGAGGGACAGTCCCTTTGTTTCGTAGACGAAGAAATAGGCAAAGAGCATGGAGATGGTGCAGGTTGTACCCCAGATGAAGAAAACTTTCGAGCCCAGGTTTGCCCTTTCAGGGTCGACGAGGTATGGAGTGATAAGGGCGAGGATCTGTGTGTTTGGTGATTAGTTTGAATTTATTTTGATTATTCGAAGTATGCAGCTCGGAAAAAAAAGCGATGATACGATAGGTAACTCACATAGTTCCAAAGCCAGTTAGAGGCAGTGGAAAGAGCAACGCCTCGTGCACGGATAGGCAAGGGGAAAATCTCTCCGATCAACACCCACGCGCCTGGTCCCCAAGTGGAGGCAAATCCACAGATGTAGATGCAGACGAATACGATCAAGCATATGGAGGCTACGTTGGAGCCAGGGAGAGCAGTGCCAACAGCAGCAATGATGAATTCACAAACAAGCATAACCGCTGCTCCCCAGATAAGGAGGGTTCGACGCCCGAAGCGTTCGATGATGTAAAACGAGGCCGGTGTAGAGGCAACATTGACGACGTTGGTAATGATGGTAATTAAGAAGGCGTTTCGTATTCCACTTTGCTGGAAGAAAGTAGTTCCTGTGATGTCGTTAGCTTATCATGGGCGCTTGCGCATTATTCCATTTGATTTAGGGAGCATACCATAGTCTAGAGTTTGGAGGTTGAGTCAGAATTTATGTTCAGAATGATAGATGGATGATATAAGAGTATAAAACTTACAGAAAATAAAGTTAACACCAGTGAGTTGTTGGAACATCTGTAATGCAGTACCGAGAATAACGCGACGGAAGTTTCCGCTTGGGTTAAGTCCACCTTTGAAGCAGTCGATCCAGCTGGTACTGCTAATCCTGGACTCATATTCATAGTTGGCGACGATTTCTGCGAGCTCTGATTTGACGTAATCTGAATCGACATGCTGTCCACGGATGCGGGAGAGAGAGCCAGCAGCTGCGTCGAGCTTGTTCTTTTTCACGTAATAACGCGGAGATTCTGGAAGAAAGTAGAGCCCCACGCCAAGGATAAGGGCCCAGAGCAGCTGCAGCCCGATAGGAATGCGGTAGGACGCAGAGTTGTCGAGGTTTTGTGTTGCTTGGTTGACACAGGCGGAAACCAGAAGACCAATAGTGATAGCCCATTGGTAAACGGAGACCATGGCACCGCGAAACTTCTTGGGAGCAATTTCAGAGACGTAGAGGATCACGACTGACGAGATACCGCCAACACCCAGACCAGCAACAAGTCGTCCGCCAATGAGGGGATTAACCTGGGTTGAGGCAACCTGGATGGCCACACCGATTGAAAACAAGAAGGAGGAGAGCATAATGGTATAGCGACGACCGATGGCCTCAGCTATTGAGCCGGTAACGAGAGCTCCCACAAAAGTTCCAAGGGAGAGAACAGATACAATAAGAGACTTTTGCTGGGTTGCGATGTTGAATCCAGTTTCGTCGACAGACAGGGGGACGGGGCGGCCAAAGGTTCGCTTGAAAAAGCTCATGCCCAGGACGCCGTTGATGTAACCAGAGTCATATCCGAAGAGGATACCTCCAAACGACGCGAAGGCGCAGAGAATATATGCTCTGGCTGTCATGGGAGCCTCGACGCGGTTCACGTCAGAGGTCCATGTTATGTCATTTGGCGCCATGGTTGTTGCTTGGGAGCTGGGAACTTGCGGTCAACAGCTGCTACAGCTAATGTTAGAAAAAAGAAAAAAAAAAAAAAAAAAAAAAAAGGCTGCGCTGGATACTAGAAGGACAAATACAGTGGTAGAGGGACGAAGCTACGAAGAGCTCACTCACACACACTTAGACAGACCTATGAACTTAAGTTTGTTCGAATAGACGATTACGAAACACGAGATTTTTCTGTTATTGGAAGCGATGGTTGTTCACACTTGTAGGCGATAAGAGGAGAGACGTCGTTTGTATGTAGTGAAAGTGAGGTGAAGGTGAGGAGGAGGAGATCAAGATAGAGAGAATAGATAGATATGGCGGGAGTTGCGAGGTCTCGAGATCAGTTGGAAAGCGGGGGAGGAGGAGGAGGAGGAGGTTTTATTATGGAAATCCGACCAAACCATGTTCTTGTGCGTGGTAGAGCTTATAGAGCTTCTTAGCACAGCGTGCACCGTACCAGCAAACACCAACGGCTTTGGGCCTCTATATTTCTTTGCCATCCTCCTCTCGGGGGTTTAAAAAAGCATCTATGCGCGCTCCTCAACTTTAAACCTATTCTAAGTTCGCTTGTTGAACTGACAAGTGCGAATGAGAGAAACCAGAGACAACAGAGCGTAGGACTTGACTTTGAACCACGGTATAAACCTTCCATACTTTGGTCTAGAGTTTGATTGATCTCCGCGTGTCAAGCCTGGTAACTCTGGGTACAAAATGGTTTCTCCAGCCACTGCAAGAGTTAAACTTGGAATCTCTGCGTAGAAACACCTCTTGACGTTGGAGGGTCTGAATTCTTGTATAGGATCTATCTATACCAACGGCAAGCCCCATGGGTAAAATACGCATCTCTGGAGGAAAGTTCAAGATATCTCAAAAGAAGGTCTAATGATGGGCACTGATTCATGTCCCATCATCTTCTAACAGGAAGCTATTTGTAGTCTTTCGGTGCTGCTGTACAGCCCCAACCAAGAGGTGATGACGCCAAGATTCATAGCCCAGCGGCGTTGTGTGTTTCTTCCTTTGAAAGCGCCACACACATATCATATCGTCAGGCAAGCAGGCAAGCAGGTAAAGCAGGTAAAGCAGGTAAAAAAGCAGTTAGTTCTTGAAGAGCAGTAATGAGATCCAATACCGGCTCCATGGTAACTAATCGTGAAATGCATGAGCGCTCTCTCCTTAGCCATGTTTCCTCTCCACGAAGAGGAGGGAGAGAGTTGGGGAGGTGGGGGAGATCGAAAAAACTCTCTGGTTCAAAAAGGTAGTAGTTTCAGTCAGCTGTGGGAAACTCTGGTTGTCCATTTATTTAACCTTCGGCAATAGGCTCAAAGATCTAAACTTTAGCCCTGCTGATCATTGGCTCAACCGTTTGAACTTGTTTTGCAGCGATATTTTGAATTTTTCGGAGCATTGTCAGCCCACACCTCTCACCTTTTGGTGGGGGGGGGAAACCTGGGGGGGTGTTGCCAGAACCATCTCCTGGCCTGCACGCGGGTCCCATCTCTGAAATATAATATGTTGTTAATATAACCTACGCTGCATAGCATAGTTAGTTAGTTAGGCTAAGCTAGCTCCGAGAGTAATGAGAGTTCTTCTGAGAGAATTTAAACTACTTAAGCGCCGGCTGCGGCTCTGCGCCCTCGAAACTTTACCACCCCATCCGGTATCAGCCAGGTAGGTATTGCGCTGTAAGTTACAAGACCGGAACAAGGTTTCGTATTTCTACTTTCTTGTTAACATTAAAAAAAGTAAGATTGATTGAATGAAAAGGAAAAATAAAAAATAAAAAATAAAAAATAAAAAATAAAAAATAAAAAATAAAAAATAAAAAATCTAGTGAGAAAGTCACAATGAGATAGTTATAGTTAGGATGCCATAGTTACAGTTTCACTCATGAGCTTCTCTTTTCCGTGAAAGTATTGCAATACCTGTCACGCTTCCCACAAGATCTTTGAAATCTAATTATGGATCATCATGAAGTTGCCTGCTGATATCCTTCCATCTCTCCTATTAATTCTTAGTAGCTTTGTCTTGGCATTGCACCTAACTCTGCAATCAGTTAGCACGTCAAGACCCGTTCAGGTGTTTGAGTAGCATCATTATATATATATATATATATATATATACATCTATCTCTCTTAGATAGAAACCCCAGGTTAAGGACCGTGTTTCTTGCTGAGAAACTTCTCATGCTAATTAAATGCAACGGTATTTTACAAAAGGGGGCGAGTTCGCCGGGGAAATGTCACCTCGCTAAGCCTGTTTCTGTTATGTTTCCCCCCCTCCGGTTCTCGACTAAATAAGTTGAATTAAGCCATTTTCAACCCATTTTCAATAAAATTCAAATTCAACTGCAACCTTGCGAATCCAGGACATAATAATAATTATAAGTTAGTTAATATACACAGTCAAGTCAAGCTCCAGGTTATATAAACTGAACTAGCTAACTGACTAAGTAGTTAGCGGCTAATAATAATAATAATAATAATAATAATAATATATCCATATGGGGGAATCCATGTCCATTTGTCCATTTGTCCAACCAAGTGTGGGGGGAGGGTGTCACGTGGGATGGGGCTTGTGGAGGAGGCTTAGCTTAGCTCAGTTTAACTCTGTGGATGATTTGTCATGATTATTTAATAATAATTTGGGCAAAACAGGTTAAAGAAGAGCGAGATTTTTTTGACTCTAACCAAGTTCGGTTAGTGTTTTCATTTCCCGGACCGAACAACCGGTCATCATCATCCACTTATTATAGTGGCGGCGTATTTTATTTGGCTTGGAACAGGAAAACTGGAATTGACCTCCCTCCATCTACTCCGTACATTGTAACATCATAACCACCGGACCGAACCTCTTATTATTATTATTATTATTATTATTACGATCATAATAACCTCCTTGCTTGAACCATTGCCCAATCATGTCAATGAATGTCATGTCACCGAGAGAAAGCATGCGGGTTGATGCTTAATTGCCGTCGGTTGCCGGCCATCCCGCGCTTCTTCTTGCCAGGCAGGCTGGTCAGACAGATATTTAACGATATCAAATTACTAGCAAAATGAAATGAAACAATTTCCCTGCGGAATAATAAAAATAAAAAAAAAAAAAAAAACCAAAAAAGAAAAAAAAAATAAAAGACATAATAATAACTGCACCATACCCTAAAACGCCAGATCACCTTATCCAAAAAAAGAAAAACCAAAAGAACGCCAGACCAGAGAACCATCATCTTATTATTCAACAAGGGAAAAGCAAAAAGAAACAGGACCTGAGATACAAAACAGTCCATCAAATATAAACAAACACTTCTGCTGTCCTCTCTACCTCCTCTTTTTTTTTGGATTTATTTTTATTTTTGATTCAACTTGAATATTCAATAAGATGTCTATGTTTTATTTCCTTGAAAGTCAGCAAAGGAATTTTCCATGCGCGCTGTTGTTAAGGCACACCAATACATTTAACGAAGCTAAAGGATATTGAAAGAAATAGGAGGAATACTCACCTCATTGCTCGTTTCTTGATCCACAGCTCTCGTCGTTACTCGATTGCACGGGATTCCTATCATCATCATCATCGCGCATCATCGCCATTGTTTCTTCAAAGTCCTCTGCTCTAAACTGACTCGCGTTAGGCTGGGCCGAGCTGGACCCTGTTGGTGACGGAATCTGCGCAGGCCCCCCGGGAGTATTTCCATTGTCCACCTCCATCTCTTCTTGACCAGGCTGGCCTATGTTGCTGGGTTGAGCCGAGCTGGACCCTGTTGATGACGGAATCTGCGCAGGCCGCCGGGAGTATTTCCATGGTCCACCTCCATCTCTTCTTGACCAGGCAGGCCTACGTTGCTGGGTTGCGCCGAGCTGCTGGACCCTGCTAACGATGGAAGCTGCACAGGGTATCCAGGAGTGTTGTCGTGGCCAATCGGTTCTATCATTTGCATCGATTCATCGAAGTCTTCTGCTGTTAACTGACCCGCGTTGAGTTGGGTTGGGCTCAGCCGGGTTGACGCTGGAATCTGCCCAAGGTCTCCGGGAGTATTGGCATGGTCCATCTGTTCCGCATAACGTTGACCCACGTCGGATTGGTCGTCGATACACCTTGGGTCATAAAACTCAGTGAACCACGATCCGACAGACGTATCGAACTGTGCCTCGTCCGGAAGACCGCCTAATGCTGCATTCTCTGGGTTGCCATTCTGCGTAGGAGCTGTCTCCATACCGTTGGCTGATGCTGCGGGTACGCTAGGAGGGGCCCAATCTATCCTTTGACCTCGTGTGGGGTTCGCGGGCTCTTGAAATACAGCTGGGTCTGGAGACACACCACCATTACCGCACTGTAACTCGGCCGGATAAATATTTTCTCTGTTCTCTCGGTTGTCGTTCGCGTATCGAGCTGGATAGCCATTCTCCTGTGGCGCTGGGTGTACGCCTGCGGGCGTTTCAGCGGACGTGGGTACTGTCGGGTGTCCATTCGGCTGTGAGATGGGTTGAACCCGCGGCGCACCGCCGCTTCTGGTGCCCTGCTCGGGGTCGGTTGAGATATGCTAGGTGATAGGTGCCAAGCCCGCCTTCCGCCTT